AAGAAATTTAATTAACTTTAATTATTTAAATAGTCTTTATTTTTAAAGATAAATAATAATAGAAAATAATCTCTTTTACTTTTAATTTATTTTTCTTTATAAGTCCTATAGTAACAAATAAGCTTTAATTAAGTTAATAGTTTAAATCTTTTATAATATTTAATAAATTATCTTCTTAAAAGGTTAAATTATATTTATTAATATTTATATTATTAACTAGATTAGTTTTTTTTAATAATACTATTAAAGATAAATATATTTTAAAGGATATTTTAATTTAATTAAAAGTCCTTTAGTAGATTACTATAAAAGTAATAACTCTCTTATTTTTATTAGCTTTAGTCTATTATTAAGTTATTTAATCTTATTTTAAAGAATACTTAAGTTTAGAAGTTATATTACTTTATAGTATTTTCTTCTAATTATAATACTATAAAGAGATTAAATAGTAAATACTTATTAAGTATATAGCTTTAGTCTAATAATTAGTATATAGGTAGATTAGCTCTATATACTTTTAGGTTACTATTCTTCTCTACTAATTTATATAACTCTCCTTTTCTACTCTAATAATTTATATTTAACTCTCCCCTTATATTATTATATTTATCCTAATTTTAAAGCTAGCTACACTCACGATAATTCTACCTAGCACATCCTAATTCTATAATACATTTAATAATCCTAACGCTCTTACTATCCCCTATTATTATAATAGCGCCGGCTAAGGCCATAGCTAAGGCTAAGGCTAAAGGGAAGGCTAGCGCGGCGGTAGGATATAAGAGCTCTACTGAGATTAAAAAAGCCGTCGACGAGGCTAGACAGAAGGCTATAGGGGGACTAGTGACTCCTAACAGAGACAGACGAAGAGAGAGGGCGAAGCCGGTCAATAGTCCTCTAGCGTAGGGCAGCTCGTTGAAGGTCGCACAGGACGAGGAAGACGAGCCCCTGATTCCTCTAACTCCGCTGACTGAACCACAGTCAGGGCGCTGAATCGGAGCCCGAGGATGAGTACATAATGGAAAAGGTGAACGGCAAGCGACAGGCAAAACAGGACTCACGCACTAAAGAAGAAGCAGAAGATCGACAACCAACCAAATAAGGCAGTCACACTAGACCTGACACCTAAGAAGGAGAAGAAGCAAGGCAAGGCTAAGGCTAAGGACACCAAGCAGGCTGAGGAGGAGCCTAAGAAGACTAAGGACTAACTTAATCGCGAGTACACAGCCGCTAAGGTTAAGCTCGTTAAACTAGTCGTAGATAGGATAACGACACTAAGACTAAGCTCTAACGAGTCCTATACACTATTAGTATAATAGAAGAGACGATTAAAATAAAATCCTTAAACTACTATAAAGTGAGAAGTCCTTATAGCTAATAGTACTAATCCTCTACTAGGCCACTAAGGAATTCTAGTACCTCTAGTCTAAAGAATATACTCTTTAATAAGTTTAGTCTATAGTTAATATAATAAACTATTAACCTCTTTAATTATTCTCTAGTTATATAACTTTATATTCTATTCTAAGTACTAGTGTGTTAGGCCCTAGTCCGCCTCACTTAGCCCTATATACATACTGTAGCGTTCATAACAGTATGCACCTATAGAGCATCTGTAATAAATACTCACCGCCTTTGCGATTTTCGCCCCGCTTACCGGCCGGTTGGCTCTGGGCCGTTCGACTTAGGATTTACTGCTACCCCGGGGTCTATAGACTCGATCTTGTCTAGTATAGCTGTCTCGTAGTCTGTCTTATGTAGCTTTGTTAAGGGTAGGGCCAGCTGCTTTTTATAAGTCCACACCTTAACCTGAATGGTTCGATTGGAGAATAGAGTTCTTACGTTCGCGTCCTGTCTAATATAGTTATAGACTATAGGGGAGTCTATTATTTAGAAACTCTTAGAATCTTTAGTAGTATAGAGGTAGTACTAGTCTTTATAGACCTATCTAGGTTTAATTAGAAAGTATAATAAAAAAGTAGATAAATATATAAAGAAAGTGATTTTTAGAAGATAGTTAGACTAAATCTCTAATAATTAATCTAAGTAATAGTTCTACTATTAGGAGATATTTCCTAATATAACTTATATTATAATAATATTTTTTTATACTCTTATATTTTTAACTTAACTCTCTTCTTAAGATATAGACTAACTATAGACTAGAGATTAAGCTACTATTATATATACTATATAAAGATAGAGCTTAAAACTATAATAGTAGCTAAAGCTTTATATATACTCGCCTTTTTCTAGGGCAAAAGTGAGTAGAAGGTTAATTAACTTTAGTTAGCCCCCTAGTTAACTAGCTGGCTATTATGAATACTATAAGACGTGTAGGTGGGGCTAAGTGAGGTAAGGCAAAGGCTTATTACACTAGCTACTAAAAAGGATAGGAGATTATATAATCTCCTTAGGATTAAAGACTTAAGCCATTAAGCTATTAATCTAAGAATAGGATCTAGGGGATTAAAGGTTAAGCCTTCTAATCTAGAGTTATAGTAGAGAGGTAAATAAGTACTTAAGTGTAACGGTGGCTTGATCCTAATCCACAGTTAGTCTGTTTCTTAGGTAGAGAGTCGGTTTGAGTGCATGAGTGTACACGAGCAGTTATCGTAGCGTAAGTCACGTTAGGAGATTACTCCTAATAGTAGAACTATTACTTAGATTATAGAGATCTAGTCTAGCTACTACTAGAATCCCCTTCCTTATATATCTATCCTATCCTCTACTATATTACTTAGATTATTAGCTCACTCTATAATCCTAGTGATCCTAGATTAGTGCTAGATCACTATAATCCCTAGTGATCTAGTCACGTGACTAGTTCCTTTATTCCTATGCCCTTATAAGCGCCCTATAGTCTCTTCTTTAGGCCGTCCTACCCCTTATCTATAGTACCTTAGTGCATCTATAATATTATTCCTCCTCTCTATTAGTCTTATCCTAAGACCTATAGTCTTTATCTTATAAGTCCCTTCTTCCTCCTACATCTTCTTTTTCCCTATAATGCCTAACTAAGTGTTTAAGCCTCATTCTAATAAAGCTAAGTAGCGTTTTAAACTTACTACTACTATTAAAGAGTTTAGTGTTATTATTATGCCTTACTCTTTTTATTATTCGTAGAAGCTTTCTTATAAGATAATAGAGGGTGTTTCTTATTATAAAGAGTGCGTTCATTAGGGTCGCTCGTGTGATAGTTCGGGCGTACTTATGTCATCCCTTAATTAAATAATTTCTAAATCTTAATGTCTGTGTTAGGAGGAGGAAGAGGCCGCTACTCTACTATAACGCCTTTAGTAGGAATCCTCTAAGGCCCTTACTAGGCTAGACCGTCTACGTAAATAATGTGAGTCCCTTATAACTTATGGTTCTACTATAGTTAGTTATAGCCTTTAGTTACTTAATAAGCTAGATGAGTTAGAGTGGGCGCTTTATTAGAAGCCCCACTATCTAAGTATAGTCCTTAGGTTATATAGATATAATTAATTAGAATACTATATTACTAGATCCCTTTTTATTACTAGAGGTGGACTTATTTAAGTAGAGTGTTATTAGTTAAATTGTTTAAGTAGGCTTAAGTAGTTTATAAGGTTCTTATAGGGTTCCTATATGTTTTCTAAGTGTAGGTATCCTTTCTATTTAATAAGATAATAACGATTCTTTTCTATACTTTATGTTTTAAGTATCTTCTTAACTTTATACTTATTTATATTTTTAATA